TATTTCTCGTCTGCGCTTCCACGCAGAGTATCGATTCCTTGTTTAACCCTTTATAAGTTTGTGGTCAATATTTTAACCACTTCACGTAAGATCCAAAAAGTCTATCGTTTTACAAAACAAAAACAACTAGAAACACAAAACTTTGTCAGTAATTTTATTATATAGATGATATGTAGTGAAAAATATGTCTACACATAACCATACAAATATTTGTCATAAAAGTGCTGCTTAAGACTCCTGGCCCCTCGCATTGTTTATCTCTTTTTAATTACATCAGAAGCGAGAAAATGTATGCTAAAAATTCTTGCGAAATACGTTAAAATAAAAATATATATCCATAAAGTAATACTTGCAATCGATTAAACAAATTTATAAGATATTCCGTGCACTCTCCTTTTGCTCTAACAATCAATAATTTGTCGTAAAGTAACGTGACATACAATTCATCTTCTTAACCTATTTTTTTGTCTATTTCTATTCAAATTAATTTACAATAAATTATTGATTGTTAGAGCAAAAGGGGAGTGCACGGAATATTTTATAAATTTGTTTAACCGCAAATGTTACTTGCAAGTGTTACTTTATGAATATATATTTGTATTTCGCAAAAATGTTTAGCATGCATTTTCTCGCTTCTGACGTTATTAAAAAGAGATAAACAATGCGAGAGGCCAGAAACCTTAAGAAATGCAAATATAATATCTACTTGTAATATGTAACATAAATTGACGTTTTTGTAATTTTTTAAGTGTGATTGTAAATACACCAGATTGGTGCAAATAAACAACTTTTTGTATTAATGCAAAGTTTAAATTTTTATTTATAAATTTTTTAATAAAAAAGTAAATTTCGACAAGTGGTTGAAATGTTGACCACAAAACCTGAATGACTTTTCCTGAATGGATTATGGTCGACTTTTTGCCAAGCAATGATCGTAATAATAAGTATCATAAGGTTTCTCATATTTCACACATTTATCATGTATCTAAGTATGTTATGTAAACCTGTAATAGACACTAGAGCCATCACCTTTAAAAAAATTTTGTCCTATAAAGGATTAAACAACGTGTTTTGTCGCGACGGCTATTGGTAGTTGACGCGCCGCGCCGCGCTGAATATCGGCTGAGTTAATTAATCTCGCGTCTCGGCAAGAATTACGCGTGGTCGAAAAATCGCGAAATTTAAATCGCCCATGGAATGTTGGCCGAAATTAATTTTCGTTCCATCGAGTGGGCAACTAGTCGAGCAAATATTCCTTAACAAATATTTCTCTGTATATATGCGTAATTAGGAATACATGAACTCAATTCTAGACGCGACTATATAAAAGGAGATCTACAGAGATGTAAAAAAAGCCAAATAAGAAAAAGAACGAGGCGCCGACACGAGTTTCCTGTTCGATAAATTAGTCATATGACTGATTCAATAAGAGTTAATCGAGTGAAGAGATGCCGAGGTGAAAGAGGTCTCGGTCTACGAATTCTGTTGTCACATTTCGGTCGATAGGAAATTCCACTTGCGTGTCTCAGCTAAGGGAGGAGCCGACAAGGTGCAAGACGCAGAACGAAGAAACGGATATCGGAAAGAAATCAAAGTCGAGAAATGTGACGAGTACTGACGGTCGCTAGATTTGTCGAGTCCATTTTATTTCCCGGAACCCACTCCCCGGTCTGGTCCTTTTGGTCCTCGCTGTTCGTCGCGACCAAGCTCAAGAAGTTCAATAGCGCCCAGAGAGTCTCACGATTGGGCGTGGGCAAAAGTTGGATGAGATGCTGAAGAGCTTCCTGCTGCAGCCGTCTGTTCCTGATCTCTGTAAAACAGTCAAACCACCCGCTTATTATTATGCACGGAAGCCAAGGGGATCGGAAATTCGTAGCCTCGGGGGAATCGTAAGAGGGAGGGAAAGTAAGTCAAAGAGAAAATGAAAGAAAAAAAAAAACGGCGAAAACAACGGACACCTTGACGCGAGAACTAATTTTTTCTCTCATTTTTTTGCGGAGAGGCAAATTCAGGACCGCAGTGTAAACCAAATTCAAGCTCTCTTACGATTACGAGTGAAGCTGGGGAAGCAGGATAACCTGTTAAGCGGCTTATGTCGGATTAGAACCTGATCCTTGCTTACTTTGAGTGTGCACGAAGGCTTGATACAGATCCCTGCAAAGCAGAGGATCCGGTAGATCACGGAAGTATTCCTTCAGGAGGGTGGCTACGTCATGAGGACACTGGTCGGGACCTATTTTAGTTTCCCGACCGCAATCAAAGTCTTCCCTTAACTGTAATTAATTATCAAAGTCAGCTTTAAGGTCAGTTGAGAGCGGACGCATACAGCGCGTTTCATGGCGGAGATCAGCAAAATTCGAATTTCGCCGGCTCCTGGAAGGAGCGTGCGCTCGAATCGTTCGAAATGGAAGAGCGAGAGTCGTCTACGCGATCGACGTCGATTCGTATCTCTGTACGAGCTGTAATGGGCGCGTCGCAAGTGGTGAACACTCCACTTCTATCGGCATACGTAATACGCGGTAATGGACGATATTGCGGAAACGATATTCAGAGAGGTCGGTAACGTGTGGATGGATGTGAACGAAGAAGAGTTGTCGATTTCCGATTTAAACCTACATTAACCCGGAAATGATTTGTTAATCGTATTAACCCATTACCGCCCAAATGTGCTGAAATTTTACATTGATTTGAGCCATTTATTTTACTACGGAAATGAGATCTGTTGTTTATAAAGAGTACCATTCCTACCAATTTCGATGTCGCTCTGTCGAATAGCGTTGAAAAAATTAAAAACAAATCGCAATTTATGCAAAATTTTTGCAAAATAAAATAAAAAACGGATGTTTTTAGGGCTAATTTTTTCTTCCGCTATTTTCTCCATAAAAACGTGTTAGTATTGCTCGGGAAAGTGTCTAAAACGTGTTCCCGATACTTTAACTTAAAAAATATGTCATGAATATTTTTTTCAACAAACATGATGGTACCAAAATAGCAGTCGATTTGAAGCGTTTAATTCAAATTTTCATTTATATTTGGTTATCGAAATTGTTTTATTATGTAATTACTATGTAATTTTGTAGTAATATTGAGCCTAAAATAATTTCGATAACTAAATATAAACGAAAACTCGAATTAAACGCTTCAAATTAACCGCCATTTTAGCACCACCATGTTTGTTGAAAAAAATACCAATGGCATATTTTTTAAGTTAAAATGTCTGGAATGTTTTAGACACTTTCCCGAGCGATACTACACGTTTTTATGAAGAAAATAGCGGAAGAAAAAAAATTAGCTCTAAAAACATACGTTTTTTATTTCTGCAAAAATTTTACATAAATTGCGATTTTTTTAAATTTCTCAATGCTATTCGATAGAGCGACATCGAAATTGGTAGGAATGGTACTCTTTATAAACAATGGTACTCTTTATAAACAATGGTATTCTTATAAATAAATAATGGTACTCTTTATAAACAACGACTTCATTTTCGTGGTAAAATAAATGGCTCAAATCAATGTAAAATTTCAGCACATTTGGGTGTTAATGTGTTAAAGGAATACCAAAGTGGATGATGAACTTGGAAAATGTCGATAACGTAAAGATGATCGTTAAAACATCACGTCAAGTAAGCACACGATCGGCCTTTTCATGTTTCTTGTACAGATAGATTTTGTATAAATGCTGTTTTGTTTTTGCCATATAATTTAGTGAATCCATTCATACATAGAAATCTTTCTGATATTTCGTAGCCCGGACAGCACTTCAGCATACTGAAAATTATCTTAGAGACTTCCTACTTCATTTAAACGTCTTTTGGGCGTCTAAAAGTAATCTTTGAGTAATTTGTGCTATCTGGTATATTGAAAGCTTCTTTCTAAATTCAATTACAAAGGTACAGCAATGTTCATTGAAATTTTCCTATGTAGAAAAAACTTCGCTATAAACTCACACGCTCTATGTTTCGCGTGTTTCCTCGTATTTTTCGGAAAATAACACAAAAGTGTCATTTACCGTGAAAATATGTGAAAAAGCGCGGAACAATCGGGCAGAAGAATGCGCGCGCGAAACAATAAGCTCTAATCAACTCGCTGCGTTTTTTCTCTCCTTCGTTTTTCTGCTCAAAAATCCGCGCCATCGCGTTCATGTAAATTTCTATTCGCGTAATTGCGTTTGCCAACGGTGCGCGCACCTTGCATGCGAATCGAGACGCTCTTGCCGTTAAAAAGAAAAAAAAAGATAGAAGAAAAGTGCATCGTACCTGCCTCACCCTCTTTTTCGAGGGTGACACGCGGAACACGCCCAATGTCCGAAGACCGGTGGCTTCCAAGTGCCTGATGCATTGCCTCACGATGCCAGGTACGGCGTCCCATTCGCTGGTAGAGCCACCTCCGCCGCTGTCGCTTAACTCGAGCACCCCGGAATCGCTTCCAGTGAGAGCACCACCCTTCGACGACAAGGACTCGCAGGAACCTCCCTGATTCAATGAGGGGAAATATAATTTGTGTTGCAGCACAAGATGGGGAAACACGATAGGGAACACGAGGTGGAAACTGGAGACACAGAGACTCGATAGGTATTTCTCGATAGAACGCAAGAGCTTCTCACTTGATGGCACACGTGACGGCCACGTGTTTTGGCCACTTTCTTATCAAGTACAACGCGATAGTCGATAACATATCGATATGACGCGTGTGACGCATAAGATCGAACGCGTCTAGCTTTGTACATTTCTAATACTTTTCTACACGAAAAAAAAACTGTTATGATCGTTACATCCACATTCTCTGTACGGAGAGAATATTGAAAAGTTACAATATAATTTTAGAAATTTAGGAATAGACTAGCATTAAATTATGAAAATTATAGTAAAACATAGTCAAAGCACATAGCTATAAATATTAATAATTTTTATTATATTTATGGTAATTTTTACTAGGTTTGTGGTCACTTTTACTGCCTCATCGTAATTTTTAACCTAAATACCGATCTATTCTAGAAGTACTCAAATTATATTGTAACTTTTACTATAATATTCTCTCCGTATACAGTTAAGAAACAAAGAACAATGTCGAAAAAAGAGTTTTTTGCCTATTGAGACAAACGTGAAAACATTATCATTCTTTAATTTTGACCAGATAAATGCAATGGTGCTATTAGAATTGCCCGGAAACCCCGGGAACATCTTCCATTTTGAAATTAAAGATGTATTTCTCCAGATAATCCTCTATATTGTTACAAATATTATCTATCGATATTGTGGAAGGAAATTGCTATCTGCAAACCACAAACAACAAATGCAAGATTTTCAGTATCAATTAGATGACTTCCGATATCTAAAATGGAGGATTTAACATTCCTATCTATACACTGCTAGAAGAAATATTTAAAAGAATTAAAAAATATTTACTTGGTGGATGCTAATAACATATTTAGAGATATTAATATACAATATTTTTCAAAAAAGAAGATATATATTTTCTTAAAATCTTAATGAAAATAATTGCGTTTGTTCTATTTAAATAAAAGAATTTAAATTCAAGCAAATATATTATTAGTATCCACCAAATAAATATATTTTATTTTTTCGGTTTTTCGTCCGCCTCGCTCGTCGCACGTATACGATCGATCGATTGTGTTAGGCGTGGTTTCACGTACGTATATACTAAGAAGAAGAAATACTACTGCGTCCAAGAAGTAAGACCAGTTTTTATTTATTTCAAAAAATATTTATTTATTCTTCCAAATCTATTTCGTCGCCTTCAAAGTAATCCCCTCCCGACACAATACACTTATGCCAACGTATTTTCCAGTCCTCGAAACAAGAATTAAAATCGCCTTCCGGAATGGCTCTCAGAGCGCGTAGCGATTCACGTTGTATCTCTTCTATCGTCTCAAAACGATTTCCCCGCAGTGGTCTTTTGAGTTTCGGGAATAGCCAGAAGTCACACGGTGCTAAATCAGGCGAATACGGTGGTTGTGGAACGATATGGATCGAATTTTTGGCGAAAAAGTCACGAAGAACGAGTGCAGTGTGAGAAGGTGCATTATCGTGCATTATCGTTTACACGTTTCAGGCCCAAAATATCTTTCAAAATGGTATTGGCAGATCCTTTCGAAATACCAACAGCATCAGCAAGGTCTCTAACAGTCATTCGACGATTAGCAAGCACAAGTTCTTCGATTTTCTTGACGTGTTGTTCATCGGTAGAGGTTGATGGTCGTCCGGAACGCTCTTCGTCTTCAACACTTTCACGACCTTCTTTGAACTGTTTATACCACTTGTAAACATTCCTTTCCGACAAAGCATGGTCCCCAAAGGCTTTCTGCAACATTGTGAACGTTTCTGCACCCGAAATTTCATTCCGCAAATAAAATTTAATGCAACTTCTTTGCTCAATATAATTAGACATTGTAAAAATCGCCGAATGCACTTTTAGCGTCGTACAAAACCAAGCGTAAAGCAAAAAGTAATGAATGTTTTGACATGAAATTTGTCACAGATGTCTGTCACAATGCTGCCAACTTAGAAAAAAAATATTTATGATGTGCGGTTTACCCGCGCGATTTAAATTGAAAACTGGTCTTACTTTTTGAACACAGTAGTAGAAAAACAAAACAAGCGACGACAGGAAGTTAAATCCCTTAATTATATCTTTTACACGACATCTCTATAAATCGAACAGACGAAAACACGCGAACGATTTGTCTGATCGGTGAACATGCATATTCCTGAAAAAAAGAAGTGTCGCGGAATTCTTAAAGTGGAACAACGTCCTAAAAAGTCACAGTCTCAAAAATTGAATACAATCTTCCTGAAATATTGAAAGCACGTCGTCCCGTTATTCAGTTTTCGAATTGTGACTTTTCGAAAAACCGAAAAAATAAAATATATTTATTCGGTGGATACTAATAACATATTTGTTTGAATTTAAATTCTCTTATTTAAATGGAATAAACGCAATTATTTTCATTAAGATTTTAAGAAAATATATATCTTCTTTTTTGAAAAATATTATATATCTCTAAATATGTTATTAGCATCCACCGAGTAAATATTTTTTAATTTTTTTAAATATTTCTTCTAGCAGTGTATAGATAGGAATGTTAAATCCTCCATTTTAAATATCGGAAGTCATCTAATCTCTCACAGTGCACAATCTTCATATCAATTCTCGCATATAATTGTCTCAATCGAAAGAATTTTAAAGAAGAATTATGAAGAAGTCTGATCTACGATGTGTTTCTTATTCTCTATTTCTTACTGGCTAAAGACTTAAGGTTTAAGTCAGAAAGACGTAAAGAGAAAAAACGAGAAGCAAAGAGCACGTTGTATCTGGGTTAAGAGTTACGCTGAAACATGCATGGACGAGCAGTAAAGAAGCGTTAGCAGATCGCTACGATTTCTACAACCCTTCTGTATGCACGCACGGAAAATAACATTGATATTTCATTACAGCGATCATATTTAGTCTGGTGATATACCCAGTGGTATTCTCTGTGCATATTTCTACATCTCCAACTTCTAACTATACCTAACTTCTATATCTAACTTTATGTATCGCTTTCTATCTCTCGTGTCTTTTAGTAGTGAATTAAACTTTACACATGATCTACAATGTGTCGGCCTATATACAAACGGTTGTCCTCGGTGTTTCGAAAAAGATTAACTGTTTGGCACGCGAAATGCTGCAACGTGAAGGCGCGCTCCATACACGAGCGTTCTGGCTAGTCGCGATCGCTGCCTCCGTCTGGGGAAACTTGAAATAAAGTTCCTCGCAAAATTGAGAGTTCTTAATTAATCCACGGTTAAAATTAGCGGTCCCGTTCTCATTCTATTCGTGTCTCCGATCTATGATGTCACCGCGGACTTGGGATGCGCGCACGTGACGTCGGCACGAGAATTCTACGTCGTCCGCCTCGCTCGTCGCACGTATACGATCGATCGATCGTGTTAGGCGTGGTTTCATGTACGTATATACTAAGAAGAAGAAATAGAAGAACAAAACAAGCGACGACAGGAGGTTAGATCCCTTAATTGTATCTTTTACACGACATCTCTATAAATCGAACAGACAAAAACGCGCGAACGATTCGTCTGATCGGTGAAACATGCATATTCCCGAAAAAAAAGAAGTGTCACGGAATTCTTAAAGTGGAACAACGTCCTGAAAAGTCACAGTCTCAAAAATTGAATACAGTCTTCCTGAAATATTGAAAGCACGTCGTCCCGTTATTCAGTTTTCGAATTGTGACTCTTCGGGATGTTGTCCCGCTGCTGACATTTCGGGATTTTGACTTTTCGGGGTTGTACGTGCCGCTTTATCGCGTTTTCGTATGATGTGACGAAACGGAACTCGCCTCTGAGCAGAATAACTATTCTGCTATTGGGATTTTCATAAAAGTTAGCTTAATGCCGAATTAAAAGTAGTAAGTTAAATAGTGTCAAAAAAAGTTGATATATAAATTTCAGCGTATCAAAATAGATATTGAAAGGAATACTTACTAAGGCTGAAAGTAGGATCAAAATTTCGACTCGGGGATCGAGCGGAAGTATCTTTCGCGGCCGAATATCAGACACAACGCTACATCATCATATCGCATCGTGTTAAAATTATGGCGTTCATTCGAGCTAACTGTGCAATTTTCTCGAACGCAATAGAGATCGGGAACTTGGGCGCCGCTGACTCGAAACTGGTCTCCCTCTTTCTCTCTCTCTTTTCTCGCTTCGTATCGAGCGTTTAATATCCCTTGCTGGCCGGCCGGAAGTAAACCGTAACGCGCGCGCGAGAGCGGCTGAGATATTATAAAATATATCGATGCTATTTCTGCTGGTGAAGCACATAGATATTTCGGGTCTCGCAAACAGCTGATTTATTTCCGCGTTGTAAAAATTTCAAGTGCAAGCGACACATCAATTTCTGGCTACGTCGCGACGATTACGTCCCACCGCCGGTTTATTACTCTGGTCGATTACCTCGACCGATTCCGCGCGGTTCGTAACGCTTCGCTTCTCCTCTCCGCGTGCTTTCCTTATATCCACTCCTATATCTCTGCTAGAAATCCACCGTTTTCAGAGTCTTTGTACTTTTACTTCATTGAATTCACTCCGTACCGCATCTCTTCTGCAACTTTCCGCGTGGAATCACATTTTTTTGGAAACATGCAGAATAAAGACCCGGAAATATTTTAACTACTATTATTTTGTTGAAAATCGATATTTTAGAACACATTGTTTCCAGAGATAATATAGAAAAGGCAATTATAAAATAGAAGCGCAATAAAATCAAAATCTGCAAACAGCTGTTTTGAAATTTCTTTGAATCCTTTACGGAAATTGAGGTGAGAGATCGAATATTCGTTTCATTGATCGCCAACAGAGGTGGTTTAAGAGGATGCTGGAGTCGATGACGAACTCGAACAATATCAATAATGCAGAGACGATCGTCATTAACATAATCACGCTATCCTTTTCGT